TAGGCGCTGTACGGATCGCAGTGACGTCGCTGGCTGGTCGTCATATTCGTCGGCGATACACATGCACGCACCTTCCGCAGAACGTCCCATTCTGCGGAAGGTGCGTGCATGTGTACGTGCGTGCATGTGTGTCTCCCACGTGGAGTTCCGGCGCGGTGTAGTGAGCTCCACGGTTGCCGCAGGAGAGAGAAGCCACCCCCCCCCCCCCCCCCACGGTGTGATTCTGCTCCTTTTGCGCCGTCTTCACCGTATTTTCGGTGGCGTCCGGAAAACCCGGCCGTCGGGGCGACGCGGCACACAATTGTGGCAAGTCCACTCTCCCGAAAGTGCCCTTCGTGTGCTTCGGTGAAGGATCCTCAGAGGGTCGGGCGCCTCGTGAGTTACCGAGCCCAGGCGACGCGGCGACACCGTGCGCAGGCAGGGCACAACCGATGCCAACATCGCGAACCGCGGTGCGTATTGGTTTGCGTTTTCACAGGCCACGCACAGGCCACGCACAGGCCACGCACAGGCCACCCACAGACCACGCACAGGCCACGCACAGGCCACACACAGGCCACGCACAGGCCACGCACAGGCCACCCACAGGCCACGCACAGGCCACGCACAGGCCACCCACAGGCCACGCACAGGCCACGCACAGGTCACCCACAGGCCACGCACAGGCCACGCACAGGCCACGCAAGAAATGTAAGTAACTCCTCTGTCGGCGGAGTGTCCCAAGTGCACAATGCATCATGGTCCTTTTCCAAGCTTCCCTCGCAAAAGCGTTACCAAACCTGACATTGAATTTGTATTACTGCTACGACTACTTCGCTTGTTGACAGAGGATAGCCTCGCCAAGTCCCAAGATTCCTCTTTTCAGGAGGGTCCTGCCCCAGGTTTTTTTTTGCGCTCGGAGACAAAGTTTGCTTCTGGTAATCCCAACTGATAATTTTTCAGCCTTGTGAGGTGTGTGGCCAATATCAGAACCCGGAGGCAACCAATCAGAACTTGGGGTGAAACATAACTCCGTGGAGAAATAAACCCGAGACTTGAATCGAACCGGAGTTAATAAAAAAAATAGTCATAATAAAATTGAATAGCAACACTGGTTGTCCCATGGATAGACTTACCCCCACCACAGGAACGTGGAATTTCCAACGCCGGCTCAGGGCTGTAAAAACGGGGGGGGGAGCTGCGCATCAACGCTCCTTAATGAGCGGGGAATCACTCCGCTGCAGCGTCATCGCCGGCAGCGGCATGCCGCGCGTGCCGGGATCGTCACTCACCTCTCAAAACAAACAAACTTTCCCCACAGATCGTTTTGCCAAAAAAAATCGCCGCTCTTCCTTGGTTTGCCAACGTTCCATCGGTGTCAACTCTTTACACGACTGCTCCTGCTATTTTTATTTTACCAGGTAAGGCCCACTGAGCTATAATATGTAGCTCTCTTTCAGAAGCGACTTGGCTATCACAAATCAAGTGGCTTATCACGTGGACATTTATATCGTAATGTCGATTCTAAATCGGAGGACCCGGAGAAAAATCCACGCGACCACGGGGAAGATTTACACGCAAACTCCAAATATTTAGCAGGTGTCAGTGTCGGGATCGAATCCACGTCCTCCTGCATACCGGGCGAGGTAGTTAACATCTCGGCACCGCGGGGTCGATCCGAGGGAGACAATGTTTCTGAAAGTGGGTCTCACCTGGATCAATAATGCACAAGGCAGTAACCGTTTGGTGCCGACATGGTTTAGTGTCTTTAAGTGTCCGGAAAACCGCAGTAAGTGTGGTTGTAAGCTGTCAGTTCTATAAATAGTCACACAAACGGATGATGATGGCAGATTTCCCAACTGCCTCTCCGGGCCTAAACCGGGGATCTTTGTCTTCACTGGACTGTTTACGTGTGCACGCATGCGTGAACGTTTGTTTGTGTGTTTAAGATGCTTTGTGTGTGTGAAGGATTATACACGCGGGCCGTGCTGGTGCGTTCATGCGTGCGCAGGATTATGTGCGTGTGTGCGTGTGTGAGACCGCGAACGCTTAGCGCGCTACACTACGAGCCCGGCGTCCCAAGTTCGATTACCGCACACGGCCAACACCGGCGACGACTATCTGAACCGCTCCTCAGCGTCCCCTAGATCGACTCAGCCTCAAACGAGTACCCGGCGCGACGTGTGAACATCGCCACTTGGGAGACAAAGGCGGCCCGGCCGTGGCGCTGATCACCCCACCCCCCCGTGTGTTGTGTGCCAGCCATCATAAGCGCTGCTCGCTGACAGCACTTGCCCCATCGTTCTGTTAAGGCTATACGGGGGATCTTTGCCTTGCGAGCGCGCACGAGGGATTATTTGCGCGGAGGCGGCGTCGGTGGCGGCGTGTCCCTGCGCGAGCGCGCGCGCGTGAATGCAAATGCGAGTGAACTTGAGAGACATTTTCACGGAATTCCTCACGAACACCACGAAGGCCCTCGCTACCCCACGACAAATATCGACAAATACGAAGGAGACATCGGGGCAATACACTCCGCTAGCTCCTGACGCGGTTGACCACCTATGCCCGGTAGGCACCATTCATTCTTAGCATGGCAAACCCATGTTTTTCATTCCCAGAGCCGGATTATGCTGAATTATTCAACAAGACCAAATGTAACGCGATTGCAATTTTCTCTGTGCATTCGTTGGGTGACTGGGCTGCGACCATCAACTCGCGACACCCGAGAGAGCCCAGCTTAACCCGTGAAAGTTTGCACTGGAATGCCAAATGCCGGGCCCAATTTCAATTTGTTTTATTCGCCACGAAATGGAAAGCGGGACCTCCTTGCGTTAAAAGCGAAAGCTTAATCGCACACATACGGCACGGGAGAGAGGAGAGACAGCGTTGTTAAGACGCATTACCCTCAACGCAAACTGGCACGCGCGTGAGCGGACACGATCGTTTCGGTTCAAAGCTAAGCGTGGATTTGTCGTTTCTTGAGAGCATCCTTAAAGGCAGACATAAGGCACAGATTTATTATCAACAATGGGAAGCCTTTCATGTCTGCCCCAAAGACATGTGAGGGATCGTCACTTCTCTGGGGGGAAGTGGGGGGGGAGATTTTGATTTGAGAAACGGACGGGGGGGGGGGAAGCACGAGCGAGCGAGCGGAGGCGCTGGGTACCTCCTTGGGAGTCACTACGCCAGCCGCAGAATGTGCACAGGGGCGACGTTCGAACAACCGCTCGCCACATCCTCCAACGACGCGCACGGTCTCTCGTACGCGTTTATAAACCTCGTGCGAACGGTTCCGCGGTGTTATTTTTTTTTGCTCTTGTGTTTAATTGGGGCTCCACGCGGTTTCATATTGAGGTGGTGGGCCAGGGTTTGACAAGCCCTAACTCTTCCTTAGCCGTATTTTCACGTTTAACAAACATGGTAAAAGCCTTGTCGTTTGTGAATGTTAACAGTGCGGCCAGCAAACCATGCAAGATGCAGAAAAACACGCAAGTCACCGCACGTAAAAGTGAGCACGTACACGCACGCACATAAATACGCGCACGCACACACACACGTACGTACACACAGACACGTAAACACACCTGCCAACTCACACTTCCTGCGGGTACCTGACCTCTGGCTCCCCGCTGCCCTTTGACCCCCCTACAGACTTGCTAAACAAGTGTTCACACGAGCACTATTTGCCTTGCACATCTGTGCGGCTCACCGCTCCACGGGGAGGTTGGGGTGAGTGGGGGGGAGATGGGCGGAGGATGGGGGGGAGGGGGTAACAGCAGGAGGGGCGGTTGGGAGGGTGTGACGCTCATGCGGATGCACATTCCCAGCGTTCCTGAGAGCATTCCCGGCATTGCTCCTGTTGCGAACGCCGCAGCAGCAGCAGCTGTGTTTATTTAAGGTATCGCATTTTAAAAGCGCATTGTGAGCCTCCTCGTCCACATTCATATCGTGGGTTGCACGCTCCGAGCTCTGCTATCCGCGACCCGGTGACAATTGCCGACTGTGCAAAACTCGCAGTGTCGCATTTGGTATACTAACCCGGACACTGACAATGCCCCAGGTCAACTCGGCCTAAAATTAGTACCTGGCAGGATGTGGTCAGGATGGGTGCTGGCTTTGGGCCGCAGCGTCCGCGTGCGAGCGGTGCGCTGGCCGCGCCGTCCGACTGCGTCTGCGCTGCTCTCAAGCGTCGAGTGCGTTGTGGGACATCGAGAGGGTGGCGATGAGGGCCAACTCCACCACCGCACACCCACCGCAGTGGGGCTGCATCGACTGTCGCCCGTGTGAGTTCTGCGTCTTTATTTGTTTCGCGAGGACCTGCTCGTGTTGTCCAACACAGGCGTCTGGTCTCTTGGGTGCCCTGTCTGTGCGGAGTTTGCATGTTCTGCCCCTGTTTGGCATGGGTTTCCTCCTCCTCCCCGTCCTTTGGTTTTTTCCAAGAGATAAAACATCTTACTAGTATTGGCCAAACATCCCGATGCTGAAAAACTACCTGCATATGACTCAGTTGGAATTACACGCAGAAACATCGCCCCCTTTCTGAAGAAGAGTCTTGAGACTTTTGTAATTATAAAACATAATTACAAAAACAGACCCTTGTCCTACATAGAGGAACTGTACTGTTTTGACTTTGGACAAACGCATTACTGTGTATGTATGTTGAATTTCTTTCTCACCGTACGTAGCCAACCGTGTTAATCGGAGGTGCGTTGTTCCTAGGAATGTACCGAGCGCCACTGGAAAAACGCGCCGACTCCGACACATTCACACCCTCCATGCGGACGTCACGGCCGATTCCCGGGGTCGGCCCAGGTGAGAGAGAAAAAGCGTGCCGCTCGGCTCGAGACGTTGAAGGGTAGCCCGGGGTCTGGGCGGCCCGCCCGCGCATGGCGTTGAGGCCTACTCTAGGCCTACTGGGACATCCCCGGTGGCCCGAACAATCGGCGAGCGCGTGCCGGCTCCCAGCGTGGGAGGGCGCCGTGCGTCGCGAGCCGGCGTGCCGTGCGTCGGAGGGGGCGTACCGATCATGCTGGAGCCGATGAAGGCCGAGCTGCTCATGGCTTCGTGCGCGGCCAGGCCCCGCTCGGGGACGTGCTCCGCGTAGTGGCTCCCGTCGGCGAACGTCTGCTGCGGCGCAAAAACACAACGAGCGCGGGAAAGAGAGGGAGCGCGGAGTTAGCGAGCCCCGGGGGGGGGGGGGGGTCTGCGGCGAGCATCGATCGCTCTGAACGCGCGCTGTTGTTCATTTGTAGCTGATCGTTGGCTTAGCTCGCGTAATGCCCACCCCGCACCCGACACAGGCAAACAAGCGTTTATCAACGCGACAATGATGATTGTATCGGCTAGCCGGCAGCGATTAGGCACGAGCAATTGAATTCTTATCCAATGGCTACATTTGGCGGTGAGAATTGTTCATCATCTCACCGAAGCAATGATAACAGGCGCGAGCGTTGTCGTACACACGCTGCGTGTGTTCATCTCTTTGGCTGCGTCGGGTGGCGGAGGGTCTTACGACAACAACATTTGGCCAGATCGTTTGCGTGGGCCTAATCCAACAACAAACAACCATAAATCATAATATTGGCTGCGACAACCTCCCGTGTATTGTTGAGTGCTTTATTCGTTCACATTGCGACCTCCTCCAGCCCGCCCCCCGGGGTCACATCGACTGACATCACATCTGCCCATCGCCGTGCGCCGTCTCCGCCACGATCGCCGTGGCCAGCACGTCACTCAGCGGGACCGGTGAGCGAGCGGCGCGGCTGCAGATGTCCTGAGGATGATTCGCCAGGGGCGATCGAGCCGTGGCATCGACGGCTCTCAAACCCCAGCGCTGCCCCATCAGCGTCGATCGAACGACAGCCGCTTTCAGGGTTATCCTACGGACAGACCGTCCTCGCCACAAGAAGGCGGAATGCCTATCACTGGTTTGCGGGGTCGCCAACGGAAGTAAGGCTTGCTTAAGCATGGAGGCACAATGGGTTTTGACAATGAATTAACGTGCATTTATTTTTGACTCAACAAAGGAAAACATAACCGAGCATTGTAAGATTTTATGAGGGGTGTATTGTGTGACGCAAGCAAAGTGCAACACCGCCTTTTGGCGTTCTCTGGTCTGACACTGGTAGGCGATGAAGAAGGCTGTTTTGTTTGCATGTTCACAACAAATACTTGTGGTTAATGCTGACTTGATTCCTTGCAAGAGGTGTCTATTTGGTGTTTGAACTTCTTAACACCTCCACGTTACGTCTTACACAGCTAGAACTCTCCAACGCAAACTCTTGCACTCAATTCTCCTTCACACCGCACCGGGTACTTATTTGAGGCTGAGTCGACCTAGAGGAGGCCCAGGACCGGTTCAATAATAATCGTCACCGGTGTTGGCCGTGAGCGGGAATCGAACCCGGGTCGCCAGGTTCGTAGCGCAGCGTGGTGCTAACCGCTGATAAAGCGCAACGCTCTACCAGTTTGTTGTCACGAAGATGCGCAAATATTGGGCGCTTGTGTTTTTGTTAAGTCTTCGTCAGGAATATTGTCTTTCAGCACGTGCAAGTTACCCTTTGACTCGTTCCCTTCTGTTGTCTGGACCCTGCAGAAACGTCAGAGGCGGAACGAGAAACTTCCCTGGGGGGAAGGGGGGGGTAGCAATTGGGGGGGGGGGGGAGGGGTCACCCCCCATGATCCCACTGAGAGGCGTGCGGGCAGCGTGTAACCTTTGACCCAGTGGCAACACCCCCCATGAAGGGGAGGAACAGGCTCGTACAAAATCAGCAGGGGATCAAATACTTTTTTCCCTCACTGTAGGTACAAGACCCTCCTGAAAAAGCATTCCGAGGCTCACGGAGGCTCTCCCGAATTGAGCAAAGCGTAATTATAACAGCGCCGTGGCTTTCGGGTGAGCAGAGCGTAATTAATGGCTCCGTCTCTCACGAGGAAGCCATACGGAGAGAGAGAAAAAATACATAACCGAAGAGAAGCTTTGGATGAATATTTTCCACGAGAAAACCTGAAATTGTATCCGCATTTCAAGTGGGCGCTGACGACACAAGGTCATTATTACACGGAAGACAGGTCGGTGCTCTTTAATTATTTATTTACAACCCCAACAATGGGCGCCCCATATCGGGTACGTGGGTTTCTTCTACACATTTCACTCACTCGGACAATGGCCATCATTTCTTTTTCTCTCTCCAAAATATCAAGCGCAGGGAACACAGGGGCAGCGTTGTGCTGTGAAACTCAAGTCGCATGGAGACCGCCCTGCCGACCGCGCGCCTCTCACGTGAACGCCAGCGAGGAGGGCTCGGTAGGACGCGGTGGTTAGCGGTGCACCGCGCCACGAACCCGCCGACCTGGGTTCGACTCCCGGCTGAGGACAACACCAGCGGTGAGTGAAATCTAAAACGGTCCTTGGCACCCCCCCCCCCTCCCTGCTTCACTTACCCACGCTGGCCAGCGTGGTGAAGTATGGTCAAACATAACCCCCATGACTAAACGAGAAGGCCTACGTGCAGCTGTGGACTGATAGGGGGTTGTGCAGGGAGCTTTACGATTTGGCCCGAGCGGCTTTTAGAATAACAATTGTTAGAAAAGTTGAGGGAAAGTGACGGCATCAGAGGGAGTCGCGAGGGAAAGGAGGTACCTCCTTTTCCTAGCTTTTAAACCCCAAAGATCCACGCGCCAAAAAAACATGACTTTTGAAAACAAGAATATTTGATATGCGCCGTGATTGCATCGGTCTCGGCAGGGATTTTGAATGAGCACCGCACGCCGCTAGGCTGACTCAAATGCATCGAACAGCAGGAGAACGGCCGTAAACCGCACGGCTGCAGCAACAGCAGCAGACGAGCTGCTGCTGCTGCAACTGTGGTCAATGTCCCGATCCACAAATACGAAGGAGACATCGCAGCGATGCGCCGCGCCGCCCCCGACGCGATTGTCTGCTGGCTTGACCACCACCTGAACGAAAAACCTCCAACACGTTCAGCCGGGCGGTGGTGGCTATGCACGCGGCTGCCTCTAATCCATAATAGAGGTTTTTTTGGGCAAGATCGCGTAAATATATAAATGTGTCATTAAATCCGCCACCACCCGACACAGCCGATTAGTAAGGTTTGTTACGTAAACAGAACGTGGACAATTCGTTACTAGTACAGCAACACCGGTGTGTTGGAGAGCAAAGCCACAACATTTACAATGATAATTGGTTTTTTACCCTTCTATCTGGCAACAAAACTGACACCTTTTGACAAGGAGTCATGTTTACATAGACCACAATACCTGCAGTCATAACGCAAACAAAAAACATAACTCTGATAATGTGCACTGTCCTTGAAGTAGATTGGTCCACAGCCGAGACAGCTTTCCTTAGAGCCTAGTCTCACATGGGTTGGACCAGATAACAGTCTCACATGGGACTTGAGGACCGATGATGTCGTCTTCACGTCGGAGTACAACAGCCCCGCTCTGCATCCACACCCCGCTTATATCCGCTCCGGCATGGCCGGCTCCGCCCAGGCCACCCCTCCCTTCCCCCACCTCACGGGAAGGTCTGGGTCCCTCCACCACGTGACCCCCCAGGCACCCGCTTGGGGCCCCCAGCCCTCGTACTGGCCGACACAGTAGTGACGTCCTATGTCACTACACATGTATAAGAGAGACTCTGACTGATTGGTGGGAAACATTCTAAATATCAAAAATAAGAATAGCTTTTACCGTTTCTGGCAATAAAACAGGCGTTAAGACGTTCAATCGCCAAAGATAACAGTACCAGTAAACTCATTGGGCCGAGTCCACACTAGCCAAACAGAATCGTCAAAGAATCTGTTTTGCCAATCGGAATAACCTCACTTTGTATTTACTGGATATATAATCACAAGCTCATAATCAGCAAACATGCTGTGTCCTGAGCCTGGCCTCGCGATTCATGTCACAACGCATTACGCTTTCGCAATGCCCACGTGCAAAGTGGCTTTGATTTATTATTTACTTTCTCCGCTTCTCCGCGGCCCCCCCCCCCCCCCCCCAGGCACGCGTGTGCGCTGGCTCTTGTGACGACGCGCGATCTGTGAAAACTGCTCTTGTGACAGACCCGTCCCGATCGCTCAAATCGCACAAGACGCCCGCCGACTGTGATGACGCCAACGAACACACCGGCGTGGGTGGGTGGGGGGGGAGGGCTCATCATTTATACGCAAAAAAACCTACGGCCAATGTCAGGCAGTGGCCCAAAAACCGCAGAAACACTTTTTGTCCGTGACGGTTCGCGACGCTGTCCCCAACGGAGAAGAAACGTTACAGCGGGTAACACGACGATTCGTCGTGCGGCAATTGAAACGTATAGCATTTCGCTAAACCTACTTGGCAATCTCGTGCCCGAGGCGATATCTGTAGCGGTCATAGATTCCCGCACCCTCACCCCCACCACCTCCACCAACCTGCATGATTGAGCGCGGCGAGGTATGGTCAAACAACTCCCACAACCAACAAGGTGTGGGGAGGCCTTCACCCAGCAGTGGATGGACAAATGGCTGTAAGTACACGTACAGCCCCCGTACTCACGTACCTATTAGCTGGTGAGCTCAAACGTTCCTGGCAGTCACCCGAAGCAAACGAGAAGATCTCGCGTACAGACCAGTTTACCGTCTCAGTTTGTTCACCGACAACCGGCGCACACGCGCTTCGTGTTAAACCCAGAGAGGCGACCGATTCCTCGAAGACAGACCGAAGGCCGTCGGCAACAGCCCGTCACGTCGCTTCCGCAACGAGACGTGCAAACCGCTGCCGAGCAATACCTCAATCTGCGGCCCCGAGGCCCCCCGCGCGCAGCTGGAATTTTGCGACTCGCTAAAAAAAATCTAAAACTGCGAAGGGGGGCGTTCACGACGCGACGACAGAGGAGCGCCCATTACGTGTGTCCGTCGCACCTCGAGCGAAAGTCCGCCAGGGTCACGACGGGGACACGCCGAGGCCCCGTCGAGCCGAGAGAGCCGCTCGACTTTCGCTGGGGGTGGACCCGCAGTCGGCGCCCCCCGTTTGCTCGGCGATGCGAAAACGCAGTTCGACGTCGCATCTGCCGGCTCCTTCCGCTCGGGTGAAGTAAAAAAAGAAGACCTGGGAATAGGGTC